GTTCCTTACAACTGATTGAAGCCCGTCGGTCTACTCTGCGTGACCGTGAGTTTGACCACAGACGAAGGATGTACGTAATGAAATCAAGCAAAGCTCGCGTAAGGACCGAGAAGCCTGGTGGTCGGAGCGTGCTAATGAGCTGGAAGCAGCAGCTGCATCTGGTAATTACCGGAAGGTCTTCCAACTCATCCGAACCACTGGCAGCAAGAAGTCTGGTGTGAGCGTCACACTTCGTAGGTTGTTCAAAACCCGATAAAGATTGACTCGCGAGGAGCATGCTGGTTTTCGTTCTGTATGAGGATGTATTGATCATATGTTCACCCTCCGCCAAATGCTAGAACACCGTCATACTTATCAAAGGCCGACAATCGTAGAGTTTCTTGACATCAGGGCTGCCTTCGATTCGTTGGACAGAACTGTTCTCTGGGATTGTCTATTGAAACAAGGTGTGCCTTTATTTTTCCCCTCTCCTTAAATACCCATTGTTTTGTGTGGCGCATATATATTTGGTGATCCCCTGTACCAATATTTATGTGTTTAAATAAATAAATAAATAAATTTTCTTTGCAAAACCTCCCACACTTACGGAGCGTAAAGTCACAGATATTCCGAGTTTCCCAATATCGAGATTTCGTCTCGTCAATCTCTAGTAACCTAATTCTATCCCACATTCTTTTCTTCGTACGGAGAAGGGTGCGAACCCCACTGCTGAACTGTGGTGGAAAATTTCTCAGTCCCTTCGTGTACTTCAAGCAATGTGGGGTGCATTAACGTTTAGATGTAAATTTTGAAATACATCCTAAGCCGTTTCAATCGAGGACTCTGACTCTATTGTCCAATCTACTGACGATACTCAGGGCACGAATTCTTGTATATTTGCTTTCCTGATGTGAGTCTGGGTTGAGCTAGAGCATGCTCGGTTTTGACAACCGTATGGAAGCTAAGGATTACCTAGGGCTGGCATGTAATCCAGTTCGTGACTTCATTCGAGTAATGGTCAACATAAGATCTAGTAAAGAAAGATTCTGTGTCCGGGTCGTACCCAGTCTCTTCTTTTATATGTTGCACTAGGGCACGTGTGATAACTGCATCGACCAGTTCCTGCTCAGAGGAAATTTATGGCAATTCAGTTCCCAGATTTTTTTACAGCTTACCATGAGTGCATTAAATTCTTCTAGGATACAACATCGACCACTATGTAACCAAGTACTGAGACCAATTAGCAAGATCTCATCTACCCCACAACTTGGACCGCGGTGTCTGTGTTTATGTGTGAATCATGAATGTATTTTGACTCATTTTATAAAATAATTATTTTCAAGTATTAGCCAACGATCATTAAACCAGATCAATTTCAGTTTCACTACAGCAAGAACAGGAGGTTCGGAGGCCTGTGTTGGTCCTGATAATGATGGTCTCTCAGTTGATCCAACTTCTGTTTGAAAGAATCGACAGATGAAGCTCCAACCACGTGTTAAGATGATGACTTCTATTCTCTGATGTCCGTTTATCTGTGACATGTTTCAATACAGCAATGTTCAGTGAAAATTAGACGACATAAAGCCTAAACCATGATATATTCTAAATAAATTCCATTTGAATATCCGTTTGTTGCCCTTGTTAATTCGCTTACATCTGAAGATGCTACAGGTATTTCTAGTTTGACAACAATTCACTCAGTAACACTTATGAATGAATCGTACCCACCTCGTGAAATCAGAAGTCAGAAGCTAGGACAGTTCATCAAAACTAATGTGATTAGCATCCAATTTCGCAGACTTACACAGTTATTGATCTTGTGGATTTATTTACCGCTACACATACTTTATCAAATTACCCATTGAATGCAATATAGTTTTGAGAACTGACTGACCGATTATTGGTTGTGTAACTGGGTGGTAATATTTGTTTAGTTTATACTGCATTCTTGTATTGTGTTATTGAGTTCAGTAAAGTCTACGATGTTACGAATTAAGGAACGAAAACCATTGAGCTTCTCTAGTACGATCACTTCTCTTCGAAACTGACAACAGCCAATTATAACCAACACATCAAACTTCCACCGACAAGACAGAAAGAAGACAGAATTGTGAGTAACTCCGTATTTGTGGTAGGACAAGCAACTCAAACGAAATTGGTACAGATGTCTTCACTATGGTAGTAGAATGTGACCTTCGGACATGTAAGAGTTTATCTGACGAGAAACCATGACAACCAATCACAGTGAAAAGGTCATGTGACGAATCGAATTTGTAGAAAATGTGCAAGTGTCTATCGTTCATGAAGAGATTTTAACCCTTCTAATAAAATATAGCCGTTCTTGTAACCGTCTCAGTACGCATATTTATATTTATAAAAACATATAGAATTGTTATTTGCCCGATTACTTTGTTTCTGTTTGAACTAGTCAGTAGCAGGTATCTTACCTAATTTTGATAGTTATTCATCATTCAAAACCGAATCAGTTTGAAGCTACGGCCAAAATTCAACAGACGAACTTGTGTCTCAGTCTAATTTACCAGCTTCTAAATTCTCCACAACTAGACCTTATGTAATGCAGATACCTGTGTGTATTCGTAAAATTCGTGCATCGATGCACGATCACCGAGCCCTATCTCGAGAGGATGGTGCGGCATTTCTGGAACTGGATTTCTTGCTTTCACGGCCCACAATCTCAATGCGTAAATGTAACTGTGTGAGGAAACAGTTACCCTCGTGTCAAACTATAAAGGCAATATTGAATCGAATATTTAACCTAGTAACTCAGTGTAATCAATATTCAGCCAGACCATCTCCTATTCCCATTCTCAATAACTGTCTGTCTGAATAACAACTTGATGAAAACACTGAATGAAGTAAACGATAAATTGTTTCTCGTTCAATAAATGATGATCTATGAAAGAAATGCTGGTATTTTCACTAGTTTTAGAGTGTCTGTGGGGGTTTATTCTTTTTAAACTGTGGTTTTATGATTCATGATTTAACGAATAAAACCATGACTAAACGCGTTGAAATGGTACTTGTCGAAGCATTCATTACTAGATGAATCGATACGAAAATGTGAGAAGAATTAGTGGCCAAGACAACTATGGAATGAAAAGTAACTGATCATTGAACATAAGAAAACTAGTTTACAAAAATGTAGTTCCTACGTCTTTGCAACTGATTTTTCAGGTAAAGTTACATTTAATTATTGAAAAGAAATCCGTAAAACTGTGATATAATTAGAATATTCAAAATAATCATTATAAGTTTTATTGTTTCACAGCAACGTTCAAAAACAACATTGATGTTAGTCAGCCTTCTTAGATTGTCTACTGATTGGAGTGAATGTATGTTCGATTATTTTTACCCACAATGATGTTGGCATTAGATTGTATACAAATGCTTTTAACTCATGTGGAAAATAACCAGTAGTTTGTTGTTCAACACCAAACATATCCAATGCATGTTTAGCATAGACTTTAGCAGTTGGTGTGAAATATGTGGCTTCTCTTAAATCGGTCATATTTGTAGATACAAATAATGGATGCATCGTTTGTATGATCACATTCTTTCTATACTTCTCGGCAGCCAGACATCTGGAGAATTGAATGATAAATGCTTTGGTTGAAGGATAAATTGGCAAGTAGGGCGTCGGTTTAAAAGCTGTATAGGAGGAAATGTTTATGATACCAGGATTAGGTCCCTTCTGTGTTAACATTTTCGGCAGAATGATGCTTGTCATTATTACTGTGGACAAAATGTTACAACGAATGATATTTCTGATTGATTCTTCATTCGGTGAATCGACTTCTCCAGCAAACAATTCAAATGGTAACACCATACCAACATTGTTAACTAAACAAGCTATTGTGGACAATCGGTCAACAGCAGGTCTTATTATTTCATAAACATCATTCTAAACAAAAGAGAATACAAGATTGATGGAAGTTGATTAATCGAATGTTTCCTAAGTGTTTTAGTGTTGGAATATCTCGATCAAATTTCAAAAATGTCAACATATTCCGATGTGTTTGGATGGTAAGTTGGCTTACTTCTCAGTGGCTAACGCGACAAACATTGAGTGGGTGGAAATGAACATTCCGCCATTTGTCTAATTAACATACCATATTTTAATGATAAGTGTCTGTATGTTTCCGTTTCTAGTATTCAAGACCTAAATTCAATCAGTGTTTGTCAGTTCAGGAGAATTGTGTGTATGAATGCTGCCTTGGTATTAGACTGAAGAAACGTTGTGATAAATTTGATGACGTGTTTGACAGTGAAATGTTCACTGTCTATCTTCGTGTTTGGGAATGTATGTCGTACTTGTTGCGCTATCATTATTATTACTACCATTTTGTCATCACTGCAGACACGTCAACTGCCTCTCTGTCTATCTCTCACTCTATCTCAACTGCAATTCTCTCTCTCTTCATCACACTACTCGAATCTAAACAGAAATATTGGTGACCAACCACCGTTCCACCTCAACAACTAAAGAAAACAGAAAATCATTGATACTTCAAATCATGCACCTCACAATGACTCGTCAGCTGACTATGAATGCAATACTGCATAGAACGTGTGACAGTGTAAATGCACACACACACACATGTAAATATATACACACATTCATTTAGTCGTCTCGAATTTGTGGTGTTTGTGAAATCTAATAAACAGTTGTGAAATATCAGTGAAATGTTTTTGATATGAAACTGACATATCTCATGCACGTGAATCACAGAAATACTTTTCGTGAAAAGAATGTTTGCAATCGCGTTTCTACATTCAAACACATGTCATGATTGATGACCATTTTGACATGATCACATGACTCAAGTCTCAGCAATAACTCGACAAACAATCCATCACTTCATGAATAAGGCGACTAGTGATGCATAACTCCTGTCAATCTATTCAAACACTACCGACCGATAAATCAAACTGATCACTTAATTCAATGACAATGATTTCAACGTAATATAATTAACAGATTAATTGAGAATAGATATTACTTTTGTAAAATCTGCAACCACAATTCGTGTTTGAACATTGTAGGTATTCGCGATTTGTTTAGCGACGAGTGACAGATTTCTTTCATCATTACTGATAAGCATGATGTTGAGACCCTCTTTGGCCAATTCCTCTGCATACGCTTCACCAATACCTGATGATGCACCAGTGACAACTGCCCATTCACCAGCCTGACGAAGTGTTTTCCGTTTAGAAAAACACCATATTCCAACAGTGTATTTCAAATAGATCAACAACAACTGTGAAAGTTTGAAACTGATCCAAGTAACGATGAGTGCAGTGAGCAAGAGTAACCGATTCTCTGTGATGAGTTCCACAAAAGACAACGTGCTCTAGATCACGAAAAGATCAAATGATTAGGTGAAATACTGAGATGAACAAAGCGTTCAAATAAATTATGGCGATGTGATTTGTATGCAAATATCATTTGTATTCGAATGTGAATATCGGTTGCAACGTGAATGCAGTATTCACTGTTCACTGGATATCGGATCGATCAGACTTCTCTGACACTTGCCTAATGACGATTCCGTTAAGACTTAACTCAATACAGTAGACCTAGTATAGTTGACAAGTTTGACGGATTTCGAATAACGTCTGTCATCAGTTGTCTATACTGGTAAACATTTGACCGAACTTCCAAGTACTCGAGATATTTTTAATCACTACCCCTGTCACAAATCTTATATCTCAGGTATTCTCACTTCCAATGACTCATGAACAATTACACTGTACTAGATGGTGATGACTCTTTTGAGATTTGTTTGCACAACGGGGGAAACGATGTTCAAACAAACTTGCTCTAATGTTGACGATGTGAAAACAGGTTGCCAAGTACGTGAGAACCGTTATGATCTGAACATTCATCAATATGTGGTTTCACAGTTAGTAGGAATTCCCTAGTTTGAATCACTTTTTGTTATATACCTTAAAATTTTTTATTTCACAGGTTCCAATTTTTATCGAGATTAACATTCGATCACGGTTTCGCGTGCGTTGAAACTCTGTAGGTACGGGAGGCCGTTTCCAGTTGGTATGAAGCTCATCCACATTGCTAATTCACGACCACACATCCGAGAATCGAATTTAGAAAACTCGGTCTTGGAAACAATAGCTGAACGTCCTAATCAACGAGTCAGCATTCAATGGTGTATAAACCTGATCTTAAACAATCCGTGGTATTATGTGGCAGTTACAAAATGGCTTTCAACACAACATCCCACACTGTTGAACTATTCCTATCAAATCCAACTCGATATTTGAAGTGAATGTCTGGTGAACTTTCATTTTCAAAGCTGAGTGGATTGGTCATGAATCTTAACTAACATCAATAATACAAATGTATAATATCAAACGTGAATAAACAATATTCAAACATCAGCAAGGGTTTTTGTGCATGTCATAGTTATTTCAATAGTTGAGATCATGTGTATGTCGCTAAATTTCGTGAATTAGTTGAACTTAAACACTATCACCATTGGATGCCATCTTAGTTGTTTAAAAGTTAAGTGTTCGTCTTCGAGACTGACAAGTACAGGGTTCAAATCACGCGAGGCAGTATTGTGGATACTTACTACTGAGGAATCCCATATTACAACGAAACGGCCATTCAGTGCTTCCGGCATTTCCATGCTGATCTAGCTTCAATTGACTCATGATCTCAACTATTGAAATATTCAAATAGTTGATCATTAAATGAATAATCAACAATGATTCACATACCATTTTCTTCTCTATAATGTATATGTGTGCAAATGATGTTGTTAACCATGTCACCAGTTATATACTCAATACAGAAACAGACATGAATTGTCGAAAATCACGATTGGTGACTTCAACATTGGATCGATAAAACAAATTGCATCACATTTGTTTTTGTGTACATGTTTCATTCACTGTTTAATGTTCCACTCATTCCATATGATATATTGTAACTTATCATGTGTAATGTACATTATGTTCCAGGGTTAATGGTTTATTGCAGAATTCAAATTCATTGGTTAAATTCGATGTCATATGATTCAGAAGAGAATCAATATTTTAGTTGTTGCCACTGAATAATCAAGTATGGATATTGACTAGCAGTGGAATCCAGAACGCTCGTTTTGTTCTATTTGGAACTGTTCAGCCGAATATACCCATATCTCAGGTCTCGTTCATGTTCACTCTGAGACTCTAAGCCTGTACCATTCACTTCAAACAGTATCGCATTATTCACTTAACTGCTGTATCCTGATAGCCACTTGGTTGTGCAATGAGATGAAGTTTAAATTCACTCGGTTTTGTTAGCTTGTATCTTTCTATTATATCCTAGTGAAGATTAGATTATAAGTAACTTCCGACAACTATTAATGGTATAAGTATTCGGTAACGAGACTGTGTATATCTATATTCCTCTTATTATAAGCTTCATTTTGACTCATTATTTACTTTCTATAATGTGTAATAAGAAGAAGACGAATATAATCACAACTATATGATGACAGATTAGCGCAATACATTTCGAACAACCTGATCATACACACAATATACTTGTTAAGAACATTTATATATAAAAATAAAAGGTCAAGTAGACTGGAAATGGGGGTAGGAGGAGACCTAATCACTCTGAATAATAAGTCAATATTACCAGGGTAGGTTTATGGATGAGAACAAACTGTTTTTGAATACATAAAAGGGGGGTTTGAATTGTCATATGGTAAAGGCTTCAATAAACTTTAGTATACGCCCTTTTACAACTTTTTATACAACACCACAAAAGCCGAGTTAAGATCAATCTTATGGTCTGTCTCGATGATATGTTTAGCAAGAGAGGATGATGGCTGTTTATCCTTTGCTCTTATTAGATCACTTGATTGTATTTGTTTCTGTAACCATTTTTGGTACATGTTTACACACACCCTAATGTTGAGATCACGATTGCTCCTCCCTATGTATGACCACACACACACACATTTAAATCGGTAAACAAAGTGGGCTGTGACACAGTCGTTTTTATGTCTTTTAGGCTTTGGGTGAAACATGCACCTTGTTCTTTGTTTGATAATGATCTATGCTGCGCAATACACCCATTAAGACATGAATTAAGAAAGATTAGTTCAATGAAGAGTTCTCTTTTTTCGGCGAATACGTTTTATTGATGACTGATTGAAGCTTTTGTTTCAATAACAGGCTATTTGAATCACTTCTGAATAGTAACGTGATGTAGACAAGCTTTTTTTCTTCTACCGAGGCTACAGTAGGTCTCACTGTACCATGGACTTTCCATCTATTTATGAATTTCAGAGGATAACCATTTTCTATTAATGTTTTATTTGACAACTTGACATCATCATCATCATCAATGGCATCATCTATACAAATACGATCAAGCCTGTTGAATAGGCACCTTATCAAACCACGTTTATATTGCACAGGGCAATAACTATAATAACTAAGGTATTGATCTGTTCACGTTTGATTGAGCCATCTTCTCGTCTACTCGGAAGTATATCTAGGAAGAGGAGATGATCGTTCTTCTCCTCTTCACATGACAGACTGATATGGTTTTGGAAAGTGTTAAATGTATTCAATAAACAGTTAATATCCTCTTATTTACTGTTATACGACTTACTATTCTTAAGTTATGTTCAGTTTATTGATTACAGTCTACCATATTCACAACCACTTTTTGACATGATCTTGTATAAATGTTATTTCCTATTTTATGGTATGTGATTAGGTCTATTTGTCTGGTATATAAACCAAGTATGTTTGAAGTAACTGATTCACATATTAGAAGCTGTTATTGATGTTCTGAACTCATATGGACGGGCTAGGCGAACATACGATCAACAAAGACGCTAGGTTGCTCATATCGTTCGAATGTCATTGGATTGACACAATGCTAAGATTGTATAAGTCATATTTCAACTGGCGAATAAATCATGTGATAACAAACCAGCATTACAATCACAACATTTCCGATTTTTTTGTTTAGGACTAAAATTGATCTGTCTCTTGTTTGTACATATGTATCCTATGCGGACTGTCTCAATATTGTCTTAAGTCACAAGCAATGGAGTCCAGGACGTGTGACCTATGTTAGTCCCATAACTAATCATATTTTATATCTGCATTTCAAGAACAAAACATTGTAGTGGTGATAGAATATTGAGACAAGCAATGTGTTCAATATTAAGGTGATAAAGAATATTTTTAGTCAAGGATGACAATGTTGAAGGTATTGTGGTTTATAAGCTATTTAGTTGATTGTGAAGCTTTTGTAGATCTTCCGAAAAACATCATAAGCACTTACTTTAAGGATTTCACCATAACTGATTAACAATTTGTTTTGTTTACTTGGGGATTCTGTCGTTTGTTATCCATAACAGTGTAGTCGCCGCCGCCACTCTGACCCTGTGCTTGTTGATTTCTTTCCTTATTGTCTGATAAATTTGGTCAATTTTCATGTGTTTGTAGATTTATGTTCAATACAGACAATGAACAAACAGTTATGAACAACTGACGACAGTATCTCAGATAAATAGAACAAGCTATTTGTCACTTGTGGTGAAGTTCTTATAGCTCACTTATCTTTGAAGTAAGTGTTAATGACGTTGTTAAGAAGAACAATCAAAACTCCATGACTAAAGTGTTCAGCTTAGACATCATAACACCACTATCCTCGATAATAATGACAGTTATTATTATTATTATTATTACATGCCCAATAGAGAAGGTCTCTGATTTAAACCGAAATTTCTGGATTCGAATACAAACTGTACTTCATCATAATTATAAAGAGCATAGTGTAGAATACATTGTCGTATCTTATAGAGACATGTCTGTTCAATTTTCTGTAGATTCATTGAAATCCCTCAATATCAGGGACCGGATGCTTTTACTGTGAAGTCTAATTTTTTCTGATACAAAACTATCACCTTTATGAGTTAAGCTATGATATATGATCTCTACCATATTGTGATGGCTGTAATACTCACAAGCCTCATTCCCATATAATTCTTAAGCAAAAGGAAATTTATATATATAGTAGCATTACATATTTGTTCTTACCAATTAACGACTAGATTACAAGGATTGATGTGTAAAACTTTTAAAACGAAAGATACCTCTATACAATCCTTGATAGTATTCGTTTCCATGATCTGACTACTAGAAAACAAACTGGTTGGAGATTAGATGGATAATGGTTAGCAGTGGAATCCAGTTTGACGCGCGTTTCGTCCCATTTGGCACTCATCAGACGGGTGTACTTGCATCTCAGACTTGTTGATGTTCACTCTAGGACTTAAACTCAGTATCATCAGCTTCAAATGCCATCGCGTTATCCACTCAGCTACTGAGTTCTGATAACCAGTCAGTAAGAATTTGACTTGAAGTAGCACTTGCACCTAAGAGTTATCAAAAAGTATGCACTTTTTCCTGGTCTGTATTGTACAAGCAACACAGTATATCCCTTACTAGTTAGGAGACCCTTGAATAGTTCACCCTCATCAGCATTAAATCTAACTAAACTAACATATTGAGAAAATAAAACAATCGGTAAATCTAATAGATTGTCTGACAAAAACAAACCAAAAATATAAACTCTAATTCCTAGAAGATGATAAGCATACTAGCAAGTACAGTTAAACCTTCGAAAATCCCGCTTGCCGGATTCGAACCCAAGACCTATCAGTCTCACGTGCAAAGGCTTAACCATCACCATCTTTTGAAAAAAAAGCATAAAAAATTATCGTAGAATCAAACCTTTAGCTGTAAAATCTTTTCTATTATAAACAAACTTTTCTTTTTATAATTTACAAAATATTATCAAACATTATAAATTATCAGTTTTAAACATTCACTTATGATTATATACATTCTAAAATAATCAGTAGTCGAATATTTTTTAGTTGAATAACTTTAACTACTTATAAATTTAAAAGTAGCGTAATAATGAAAACAGAAAAAAATAACTAATAAAAAATATAAATATTTCAATGAATCCATAAAAGTGTCAATATTATAATAAAAGAAATTAAAATTATTGAAACTTTTAAATTATTTACATGATTACAACCATTCCAATCATTACAATAACAAAAACGTTTAAAATCCATATTCTCATCACTAAATAATCCCATAGCTGTTTCCACTAAAGTTTTTCCTTGTAAAACTCCTAATAAATAATGTTGATAATCACGTGAATTAACACAGTAACCATGACGACGAAGTTGTGGCATATCTAAACGATATTGTGTATTTATTATTAAATCACTTAAACAACCACGAGTTACAGTAGTTTGATCTATATAAAATAGAAAAGAAATCATATGAATGATAACAAATAACATGAATATGAATCATTTTTTCCTAATGAATATCCTTTTGATAAAACGCTTGTACTGGAGGTAAAAAGGGTTGCCTTCATGTTACTATGTAAAAATTGGCATAAGGATTCAAACATATCTAGTTGATAAGCCTTGTTTCCAGTGAAGTGTGTTTGTTAAATTCATCCATTATCAATAATGGAATTTAGGTTTATTTCATCATCTGGTCATGAATATCATATAGTTTAGCTGATTGAATTCAATTGTTATTTTAGATTCACCATTCGTCACATTCTAGAACATAGGCATACTTATTGGCGTCCGACAATGCAAGTTGTTGCTTTAAGACTGGCCTGAGTAAACACCTGAACTAAGGATAGAGAGTGAAGTAGTTGAACGCGTTAACAACTTCAATTATCTTGGAAGTCTGATCAGCCGTAATGAGTTGGTATTTGAAGAAATCTCAGTAAGGATTAGAAAAGCTCATTTGGGTTTCGCTAACTTACGTTACCACATATGGCGAAGGTGAGATATCCATCTATCCATTAAGGGACGATTATACTGAGCGGCAGTTTGTTCTGTTCTACTATACGGCTAAGAAACGTGGCCATTAAGAGTAGAAGATACTTGTAAGATACAAGTATTTGACCACAGATGCCTTAGAAATATTGCTCGCATCTGTTGGGATCATCGGCTAAGTAATAGTGAGGTTAAACTCAGGGTATTAGGGAATGATGGTAAATCAGTTGATGAGGTTATGAATCTTCATCGACTGAGATGGTTGGGCCACGTGTTGCGTATGCCTGAACACCGATTACCACGACGCTCAATACTGAATAGTGTTGGGAATGGTTAAAAGAAAGTTAGGAACAGCCAAACTAAAATGTGGCATCATTCCTTGAAGTCACTAACTTCTAGTCTTAGTCATTTTCGTAGATGCAGACTACGTAGTTTGGGTCCGCGTGACCATCATAATTAATGGTTGGAGTCTCTGAGTGATATGGCTCAGAATCGATCACAATGGCATCGGTGTATACACTCTCTGTCTTCCTTTAAACTAAGAGATTAAAATCACTTCATATTTTCCTTTCTACTAACTGATTCTTTCCACCTGTATTATATCCTTATATGCAATCTTTCTTTTACATATTACCATCATTCAATGAACTAATTCTATGAATCAGGTGTGTCATTTTGCTGTGCTAATGAGGTATGGCAACTTAGACTGATGCACAAATGTGCCTGGTCCTATGTTGTAGCTAACTGACTGACTGACTGACTTGATAAGAATCAAAACTACTTATCTGTTAAGCTTGAAAATAGATGAATTGTGTAAATGTGAATTATTTATTTTTAACCGTTAACTATTAATATATTATCAGTCTAAAGTAAATGGATCACATCAAACTAATAAGATTATTAACAAATTAGTTAATAAAATAATATCACTGAGTCATTATTCAGTGACATTATTCTATCAACTCATTTTTATAATCTTAGTGGTCCAGTAGGTTAAGCGTTCGCGCGCGAGACTGAAGGCCCTGGGTTCGAATTCCGCTAATGGTGTCGTGCATGCTCACTGCTGAGGAGTCCCATACTAGGACGAAACGGCCGTCCAGTCCTTCCAGGTTTCCAACGGTGGTCTAACATCGATCGGTTCATGATCTCAATCATAAGCCTATCAATGTTTACTTCAAAAAGCCCCCAAATGCCCTGGTACGGCCGAGAGCGGGGAGAGTCCGCTCTCCCTGTCGAAATGCTCTCACATGATCACGCGTATATAGCCTCTGCCAGGGAAGTCCTACTCACTGCCTTCTCGTGACACTACTGTTGTTTACGAAAATGAGAGGACGAAAAGCGAATGTCCGGCACTATAACCGGATCCCAAATCAATGGTGCACATGGGCCCCAGTATCCTGCCTGAGGGAATAAATGGCGTATGAACCAATCGTTGGTCACCGGCTACCATGGGACTGCATCTCCTCACGATGCCCCACTGCTTTGTGGGTTAGACGTTCAGGTCTAAGGCTCGGGGTGTGGTCCCCTAAGAAAACCACCTGCTTCGGTTTGGGCACCCGGGCAGTATCACAGCCCTCACACAAATCAATTGAGATTCGTGTGGCGCATATTTATTTGGTGCCTCCTTGTGCCTATACCTATGTGTTAAAATAAATAAATAAATAAAGAATAATGTCATCAATGATATACAGAGAAACTAAGTGTGAAATATTTAGTTTAAAGCGAAAACATGAAATGAAAAGCCGAAACATAAGGAAGAAGGTTGAATCTTAACATATTTGGTATGATTTAGAAAAAAATGAATGTATCTATATCATTAGAAATGAATTTGAGTTGTTGTCTATGATCTAGAACTAAGGATAGGTACTACTGAATTGATGCTAAGTAGTTAGCTTAGACTTTTTAATACTTTTCAAGCTAATCATTGATCATTTATTGAATTGATTTCACGTTTTGATTTCGCTAGTTCCTGAGGTTTATGCAACAAACTTTTAATCTAGGTAGCATTATACATCCTACTCACTTTAGTCAATAAAGAATACCAGTCTCATGTCTTTTTTTATTATTATTTAAACACGTAAATATTGGTACTTGAAGGCACAAAATATATATGCACCACGTGAATCATTCGATTTATGTGGGAGCTTGGATACTGCTCGGGTGCCCGAACCGAAAAAGGTGGTATTCTTAGGGGGTCACACACCAAGCCTTTGACCTAAAAGTCTAATCCACAAGGCAGTGGAGCAATATCAGAGGATGCGGTCCCATGGTAGCTGGTGACCAACATTAGGTTAATACGCTATTTGTTCCTTCACGATCCTGGATCAAATGTGTACTATTGGTTTGGAATTGTGGTTTTCCAACTCCCCTAGATGAACTCTCTGAGTTTACCAATCTTGTTTAAGCGCCGGACATTCTCTTTTCGTCCTCTCAATTTCGAAAACAACACCCGTGGTGCAAGAATGCAGTGAGTAGTACTTCCCTGTCAGTGGCTGTATACTCATAGCCATGTGAGAGCATTTGCAGAAGGAGAGCGGACTCTCCTCACTCTCGGCTGTATCAGGGTATTTTTGGGCATATTATACCACATCTGATTTCTTCGCTATTCACTCGGTTTCTACTCCATTAGCGAGTAACTCTTCGATAAAATTTATGACGAAACTTTAGTATAACACAATGTATCACATAACAAGATAATAAATCATAAATGTGAGCAAAGATTATCCGAACGAACAATAAATGAATGGTAACTTCCAGGAATTATATATACAGAACTTAAAACAACTGTCAATCAATATCATAGTCAGAATCTCCACCACGAACGTCAAAACAATTCTACTGTACGGAGCTGAAACATGAAGAACTACCACAACCATCATCAAAAAGGTTCAAGTATTTATAAACAGTTGTCTACACAAGATGCTCTATTTCTGTTGACTGGATGCCATCAGAAACAACCTATTGTGAAAGAGAACAAACTAACTTCCAGTTGAAGCGGAAATTTAGAGTTGGATAGGACATACACTGAGAAACTCACCAGACTACATCTCATGGTAATCGCTAACTTAGAATCCTGAAGGGAAGCCGAAGTTTATATTCTGATTGGTGATTATGTCATGTAATATTTAACATGTCAAAGAACATAACGTAATTAATAGCCACTTACTTCTACTTATCATATCATTTTATTGTCTTTAAATATACACGTCTATCTGAAAATACTTTACCACGACTTTTGTTGCTGCCTTGACGTGGTGGTCGGCCTTGCCTACCACGATGAACCAATCGAGCTATACTGGCTGAAACAGTAGTTCCTTAAGGTTCTATCATGACAGACAGGTCTGTTAAAAAACGATAGGACCAAAAGCAACAAACCCAAGGTTCGAAGGCGAAGTCGTACACCTGGCTGTATAGAGGTGTGACAGCAGTAAGGTGTTTCCTTCGGACATCCAGCACAATGGCGATGCTGCCTTCCCACACGAAGGAACCGGGTTGAAAAAGGTCAATCATGGAACTGCACACTTCTTCTTATCTCACGGATATCCGTCTCCGGAGATAAGGTTTTAACAAGTACAGAGCTAACACGAAAATCACCCACAAAAAGGTCGTGTGTGATCGACCTCAAGAACTTGTCCTTTGGGCACTGCGGTCATTTTCTCAGGTCTCTAAGACCACCTTTAATTTAGTTTTCCTTTTCAGATACCTTGAGGAGAACCCTTCCACGGTGTGGGCAACCATGAAGTAATAACCACTCATACCTTTCACAGTACTCAACACCACTGTACATCAACTGATAATACTTTAAGAAAATATGCATATATATATAAATTGAATGTCAATGAAGAACAAATGAGTGAACAAACATTCTTCTTAAACATACCTTGAACTTTTTCAATTAATTTTACACAATAATTTTCAATTAACGTTCGACCAGAACATTTCTTCCAATGAATTAATCTTACATCAATTGGATCACCACAACCTGATTGAGCACTTGTACAAGAATAACAGTACAATTCAGCTGATATAAATTCTAAGGTTGATAAAAAATAATATATGAACAAAACATATGAATAATATAAATATGAAAAAATATCTTATTAATGTAACGTTGCGTACAATATGAAATAATGTAACCTCGCTTTAACTACACAAATCAAAATATCAACGCAATGGTGAATACAAAAGTTAGCTCAATAAATGAATGTATTGTAAACACTGTTTAATTAAAGCTCTGCTATCCAAATTTAAACTCAACACAATAATTCAAACAATTGAGAAAACGATAAAAGTCAATATTTCATCCGTCTTCTAGGCAACCATAATACATGGAGAAAAAATGGATGTTTATACAATTTTGAGAGTGTTCTTGATGGACAGTTACTTAAGATAAAAGTTTTATGATGATCATTTTGACGGTTAGCCAGTCATAATCAACATAGAACCCGATACAGGTGTACGGATAACTAAATTTGCATAACATATTAAGGTAGTGAGATGAAATCAACAAGGTATTTAGCAAAAGATCCTAAACAGTACTACTATCAATAATAATGAGAAAAGACATATATTGAAAGTTCGAGTAATAATTAATGTGAGAGATTACTGAAGCTCGTAACTTGGCGGGAGATAAGGAGTAAAAATATATTTATGCACATTTCAAGATATTTTTCCGATATATCACTGCTGAAAAACCTTTGACTTTAACTAAAACAGATATAACAATGCATTAATTAATAAAAACTATTTTTAACCTATTTACTTTGAAATACAATGCCGACAAGTCACGGAAGTATTATCGCTCACTGTGGCCTCCTTGCATAATGAATAATCATTGATATTAGGGCACCAAAAAAGAAATTAACTAAAACAAGTGACATTTCCCAATTCATAGGGTAGATTGACCTTAAAGTTATCGTATAAATAATGCCATTGGTAAATTCTTAGAAAAACTGTAATATGTTAGTAAACTGAATAAAGACGGCTTTGATTTGTCTTAGAAGTGCAAATGAATTAGTAATATGTAGTATAAAATACTGTTATGAAATCAGGATTTCTATTAAATAGACAGTTTGTTTTTTCACAATAATTTAGTGCATGAACGAACGGTAGTTTTGCTGGAAACCAAATGGATCTCATATAATTTAGGCAACAAGATTATTTATTCTCTGATGACTATGCTTATCAGGGCACATGTCACACATATTCCACCATCACCTATTTCTCTATGTTATACTGGATATTGTGAAAGCTCTAAAACGACAAAGGACGGTAAAAAACAAATGATGGTTAATGATATCACTTACTGTTGAGTTATTATTAAATGTTCATATTGTTGTTCGCAGTAGTTTATGATTATAGGCGTAAACAAAACAACCTAAAACTAGTTGAGGTGTGTAATGTGGTAATAAAATTCATTTTAAATATTGCTTTATTCTCGAACTTCTTCAGTTCCCCTTACTCAGGTACTTCTCATGATACTTTCGCTGACTTGTGATGTTTTCTAGTCCTTTTATTGCATCAAGCTGACAGAAATATTCTAGATTGAAACTTTAGACTGAGTCTACTGTTACCTCTGACTCACTTGTTAGTCCCTTCAAAAGTATGCACAAACAATTAATCCATTAGCTTCTGACAACAAGACTGAAATCTTAATAGGTAGCAAACTTTGCCATTACTCTACACATTATTCATTCCTAATATGTGCTACCGACACAAGGCCACAACTACTCAGATGTATCTGTCCAAACGCACACTATGCAGGCAAAGGTAACACAAGTTACTTACTAGGGAGTTTATATGTTTCTTGAATGTGCAATGTGATGTGCCTATACAATATATAAGCAAATTTTATCCCACAAATGAAAGAACCCAACTTATAGGGCTGAGAAACAAAAATTAAGGCCATTCTAGTCAGTTAAATAATTTCATACAGTACCAAAATCTTAAACTCGTGAAGCATGTTATAGAAAATGTAACATGACAATCACAATGAGGCAAATTTTCAATAATAGTAACAGGAGGATAAACCTTACAACTGCTATAATGAATACGTTAAAAGAAATCTTTCTTTTCTGAAAAGGCAACTACGTAGCTTTACCGACCCTAGGCAGTCCTGAGAGTTGTTTTAAACCATACTCATTCTAAGTTTTTATATAGATTGAAATTAGTTTGCTTAGGTATAACTACCATCTGATATACCAGACAGCAATGAGTATTTTTAAAATGATATCGAACACATTGATCGCTTTTACTCATCCTGACAAAGTGGTCTTAGTTCAAAGCAAACGTGGTGAATAAGAAAAGATTTCGCTCAGTCTTGTTTACCAAATAGTAAATACTTAAGTCCGAAATCCAATAATGGACATTATGTAATTCATTATCAGTCAATTTAGCTAACACATAGATGCGCACCTCTGTAAATTAGAATCAGGAAGTCCTAATGATGCTATACAAATGATATGCTTTGTTTCTTTTGTTCCCTGACAAAATTTTCCCGGGTTCTAAACGAAAAACCTGGTATTAAATACACCTTTCTACTAAAACATTCGATTCATTCACTTGATATTAACATAATCAAATCTCTGCGCAACAAGACAGGCTCTGTAGATAGAATTAAGCTATTTTAATGGATCCAATATCTTCGAAAAACACGTTCAATTGTTAAGGAACGGTTTAATATCTTTAAAAATCGACAAAATCTCTAACGACACCACTTTTTTCACTAAGATTGTATTTTTGAACCCTCCACTGTTCAGTTATCACCTAGAACAGGGAGGAAAACTAACAGCACTTTTTTGTTTCCGGTCTCATTGTAAAACGTTATGTTCTTCCTTTAAAATGCACTTGGTGGAATTTATTTCATTTAAAATTAATAAAAACTAAAAAACGATCACTTACCAGCGAAAAATTGTATTAAACAAATACTAAATATCACATTCATTAAAGTGTAAACTGATGTTTACACTTTCGTAAGTTTGCTGGGAAAAACTATATAGTTAAACAAATCAAATGTATACAATCGATTCGGATTTGTGCAATGAACCCGAAATACTATAGTCTGCACTAATTTTGTCTAGTAAGCTCCTGAGAGTATTTGTTTTCTCTTGAACAAGTCAACTGAAAACGTGGACACTGCTTCGGTTCATGGGTTCCACGAATTTATGACTCGGTGTGTAAACCTGTATTAACACGTTTGCTTTGTCCTCTTAGTGAATGAGATCTTTACGAATGAAAAAAGTAGATATATCAAGTCTAAAATCATTCCTTGGCATTTCATACATCAAGATCAAGTCACCTCATTATTTGCGGTGGGCAGAGTTAAGAAGTTCGGCATCTTGAACTTTACTGTTTATGGTATGCCCCAGAGTCCTGAAATTTTATGGATAGCTTTCCTTTGCATGTTTTTCACGAAATTCGAGTCACTTTTAAGACAGGATCTTGAAAGCTTCTTCAGGTTTTACTGTAGTGACATATCAGTACACAACCTAGTAAATGTCCGCATTCGAACTCATGAGTTTCTGAACTCTTTAGCTGTGACCTCTCCGTTGTTGGACGTGGTCTTAAGATCATGGATCACGTCGATACTCTTGAACACATTCATATTCGTCAACCAACTTTTAGACAAGCCGACAACAAATTTAGACTCCTTTTGAAGTGCACATGCATGTGCATCTCCGTTATTCCCCTTCAAATGTTTACATCATCAACGTCACTTCGGAGACTGAACTTTACTCAGAAGTTCATTTACATACAATACAAAATTAAAGGACATAAGACAGAGCCTTGCATTAATCCAATAAGTACCGGTTTCCAGAAGGACTACTTTCTGTCTATTACATAACAGGAAATATTTCATCCTTTTTAGAAGAGGTTCGGCAATTTCTAGACATTTCAGAACAATTCGCAGTGGTAAACACATCCTCAAAACAGATAGCTCTGTAAGTCTTCAAAATTGATATCAAACTCATTAGTTCTACAGGAGACAGCTAACTGAAGTCTCAAGGTCACCCATGCACATCAGATCGCGGATAGATACTCCGTTCTATTCATCATTGCAACTGTTAGCGAGCTCAGACCAAACCCTTTCCAACATATTGATAGCCTTCCAGCTGTATCTTTGACTCCCTTCATTTCTGGCTTCTGATTTGACTGAATCGACATGCTTAGATTATTAAGGTGTTGCGTTTTGATGCGCTGTTAAACTTAAGATACCTGTTTCATCTTTAAATCTACTATTCGGCATCATATCAAATGCTTTGCTGAAGTCGTTGTAGAATATATCTATTGATTTTCCATCGTCCGGTAATTCTGTCCATTTCTGTGTGTCGTTCCGGACATCACCACCGGCCACTATTCATCTATGGTGTACACTGTTTATCAACTCGTTGGTTTTTATGAATTCCATTATGATTTTTATTGATTATTCTTACCAGTATTTTAACTACGACACTGCTACAGACGACAGGTCTGTGGTTCAACATAGGTTATCTTGATCCTGCCTTAAGAATCGTTGCATTCTTCCTGTCCATGCGTAACTCACCCTGGCCAAGTTACATATTGAATTTCTTGTCGTGACCCAGTATTTGAGTCTAGTCCGTTACCTGGAAGGAGCTTTTGAGTAAAATAAATTTAGCATTCAACATGTAACATTTAGCGGAGGTCGGTAGTTGTGACGGCGGGAAAATCATTCGACGTAGCTTTGCACGGTCTTTCAGGCATGATCATTATATATAACTTATTACTCAACTTATTATTCTATCCCCAACAGAAATGCGTTGTTTATAAAGGCTGAAAATCATACTGTTGTTTGTCACGTTACGATGAGTTAGGATAAGTAATGATGTAACTCCCAAGTAAGATTTTATAGATTTGGCAGTCACCACATGAACAACCTACGATATTAGAATTAGGCCTATCATTACTGTATCAAAGACAAGCGTTCTAATACAATATAAACTAACCTTGAAGTAAAGCATTCTTTCCATACTTCTCACCTTAACTATCGCCTTTAAGTTATGTAAGTTTAGCCAGAATATTTACTATTTGTTCATTCTTAGGTAGCCAAATTTACCTTTTTCCGTGACCTATGTGTCTCGCATCATATCAACCAATTTGAGCAACTTATTACAGTAAATCCTGTAGCATTTATGACAACTTTATCTTACCAGTGAACTGACATCCCTCATGTAACGTAGACATTTGACAATAAATTATTATCACCATTTATGTCAATCAGGTTTTGAGGCATTTCTACTTTTATATTTGTGAAAATGATGTTCACGATCAAAGCGCTTGAGTTGTTTGTGGTGATAAAAACTTGGAATGATAATTTGAACTTATTTTCCTTTTTAAGACATTTTACTTGGGTGTATTTCAATAGGATGAAGAAAATATATTGATAATATGTTAAATAACGAATAAATTTCTGTAAGAGTTTGGAAAGAACAAGAGGCTTGATGATCTGTGTTAGTCTCAGTTGATCCAACTTTCTTTCTAAAGAATCGACGGATGGAGCTTCAACCACCTGCTGAGTCAAGGAATTTCACTTGTTGATGATTCTATGAGAAAGTCGATAATTAGCTGACAAGTAATTTGTTCTAGGCTTGTGAACTTTTTTGAAGTGCCTTCGTAAATTCTCTGTTTTGGAAGACAAGAAAAACGAGGGCATATAATGTGCAAATTTATCACTAAGCAATTTGAAGACTGTAATAAAGTCACCTCTAGTACTACGATATCACAAAGGGAATAGGTTTAGCTTGGCCAGTCGAGCATCATACGGAAGCTTCGCTATTCCGAGAATCAGCTTAGTTGCTGTTCTCTATACCTTTTCCAAAAGTTCACTGTCTTTTTTAGGCAGGGGCTAGCCGCTTGTATGCAGTACTCAGGTTTAGAACGTACGAACACTGTATACAAAGCCAAAAATGTTTTAGCATCGACATGAGTAAAAGCCCTACGTATTGACCATAAAGTTCTGAAAGCTTTGGCGGCTATTCTCAAAAGCTTTGCTGAAATGAATGTAGGCTACGTCTACAGGCAACTTTTGTTCCTTAAGAGCGCACCAGCTTTCACGAGCGACTAACAAGTTAGTGAGACAAGAATAACCTATTCTGAAACTGTGCTGCTTCTCCGAAAGGATCCAGTTTACATCGAGGTACTTAAGCAGCTCCTTCCGAATAATCTTTACCAAGATTTTAATGACCACACTAGTTAGGTTAAGGAGTCGGTAATTCTCAGGTTTATGTTTCGTACCTGTTTTGAAGACAGGACTTACTATGGCGTTCTTCCAGTCTTTTGGTAAACGACCCTGCGTTACGATAGCTTAGAGCATATACTTAAATGACTCGCAACGAAGTCAGATAATTCCTTTAGTAGCCTACGATTCAATTCATCGGGCCCCGTGAATTTACCTATGTCGAGCATATTTAGCAGACCAAAGACATCGAGTTCTTTAATGTGTGAAGGGATTTGTATGGACTGACGGTGAGCGTGCTTCTATGGTATAAACGTTGCTGAAGTAGTTTGAAAATACTTGAGCCTTACCAAAGTCGTCCTCCACTAATGATGAGGCAGTACTGTCTCCCCATAGTGCAGGAATAGTTCCTCTTCTTTCTGTCCTTTGGTTTATATAGGAATACGAGCGTTTAGAACATGAATTTCGAAATGCGCCCCGAGCCGTTTCAATTGAGAACTCTGGGTCTATTGTCCAATCTACTAAGGATGCTGAGTGCATTATATCTGGTATATTTGCTTTCCAGATGTTAGGTCTGAATAATCTTAAGATTATGTAGGTCTCTTAAATGTAGTTAACTGGATACTGTATTTGAATATCTACATAACATTTCTGAATAGCCGTAATTGCTGTTTTTGATAAATCGTGAGAGGGATCGATTTCGGTGTTGTTGCCCAGTTTAACTTGAAATAAAATTTCCCGCTAGGCAGTGAAACTATTTCAACGTTAAATACAAAATTTAATGAAATTGTTGAGATAGGAAAATAATATCAGTGCCATTCATCGACTACATTCCGATAGACTATCAAAAGCCGTATGCAAACAGAATGTTCTGCCTACAGACATGCTCATGTTGATTTGATCCCACCACAGTCATGTATGATGTTTGAGATCGAGAAAAGTCCGGATATCCAGAGGACCGACTAAAAATTACATAAAAATACTACCGCTACACGTTTTCCCCCAGCACATGTATGGAGCTTTATTACAAGACATTTAAGGCAAAACATCGACATAAAAATCTTCTGATAGTGAGGTCAACAATTCATACACTGTTTCTTGAAAAACATGGTAGTCTTGATACTTTCTAATACATTGAGTAAGTATCGTTTTTCAAAACATCTTTTGTCCATCATTATATCCACTCTTCTGATGGTACATGACAATAATCTTTTTCTTCGCAGTTGCCATCCTGAAAATTAAGATTTGTTTAACATTCATGATTTCTTTTACCACGACAAGTGACGACCAGTTCTAATCTGTTTTGATCCCGTGTTGTTTACGAATGAATGTGAAGAACTTTAGCTTGCGACCAGAAAACGTCCAGAATATCATTGCTAATTTCCGAAATACAATTAACTTGCTACCAATTTTAGCACATGTTAAGGCTTTGTTGATCACTTTTGAACAAAAACAAAGACTGTTGTGAGTCACATTTCTGGCAAAAGTATGGGACACATTCCTAGTACTATTGGATCCTCTGTTTATAAGATTTCGACCATATGATTAGGAGATTGTATTTTCCATATCAAATGGTGACAGTTACCTCAGGACTTTATACCTAAGAGCACTAATGTAGAGCGACATCAAAAGATATATTTTTCAGTCACTAACATTTGTTTCTTTATTCGACAGCATGAAAGTTTACGTAAATAGTTAAATCCTCTCAAACATGACACATGGTAGCACGGTATATATTACACTCACGGGGTGCTGAAATTTATAACAGATCTGACTGCATTCACTTAAAGACGATATACGCGCTCAAATGGTCGCAGAACATCTATACTTAAATATAAAGAAGTTGGCATACATAAACGTTTAAATGCGCTATAAGTATTATAACCTTGAGAGTTCATTTTTCATGCCCAGGTATCGACCGCAAATGCTACTAGCGCTGGGTTTGAATGGCCTCTAATTTTCATGATATGTCAGACATACAATGTGTTGATCAGAAAAGCAGGTTAGTATTTACTCCGTATTCAACGAGTTATAAAATCTAGTGGCAGCGATAGTAGCAGTACAGGGGAAGAAGAGAGACTGAGACAATTGTTTCTAAGCTGTGATTCTAATAATGATGGGTGCTTAGATTGTAAAGACTTATACAATATGTGTAAGAAACTAAACATGACAGAATGTGCCGAGGAAATTATAAATACGCTTGGCGCTAACACCAAAGGGTGCATCACGTTTGATGAGTTCCTTAGCTGTCGAGAAAAAGTTTTTCAAATGCAAACTGAAGCGGATAATATATATTTCTCAAGATCAGGTTTACCACAACATCTAAATTATAAGCAACCTGGATTTAGCTGGTCTGGTTACACATCTGATAAATTGCATACGATAGTTCAAAATAATGGACAAGAAGTGAATGAGAACTCTGTTCGCAAAATAAACGAAAATGTTAATCTCGAGAGTTCTGCCAGCGAAACCAGCCTTGTTAACTCAGGTTAGTTTTTGTAAAAATACCGATATTTTAATTAGTTTAATAGAAATTTATTCTAACACACTGTTGTTAAGAATGACTGAGTTGAAGTGTTAGAACTTTTATTATCTTGAGAGAATCTGGATAAATTATAATCGACATCATTCAGGTCGTAAGTGAACCTAGTTTTCCGTATAGTCTACGAACTTTGATTACTATCTGTAGCACAGAAATCCTATTTAGAGCTTTAAATATGTCACGTAACGGAGGCCTTACTCATTAGGGATAAGTAATCCGCAAATAATGGTAAGGAGTGAATAAACTATTTGTCGCGAGGTAGTAAGAAGTCTATGTTTTACTGAAAGAAAACCCCCTGGCGTAGAACAATATTTAAGTTTGATGTTCACAACTTCTTTTGATGCATAATACTGTATTTATAGTAAATCTACGTAGCGGGTTGTAACAATATATGATGTCTAGCAGTTGATACTAGTAAACTCTAAATCTAAACTCAGGTACTATTTTAACTACATTTACTGATTACACCATGTTCTGGTGACTCAAGACCGTTTTTATAAGCTTTTGAGACTTAGAATGTTGTTGTTGAACATATTGCTTTCCAAAGCAATCCACTTTAAAGCTAATTCAAGTTAAACCAACTATTTCAAAATATTTTGCCAGTCATTTTTCTGAAGAATTTGTCCAGCTAGTGCATGATCAAGTAAACAGACATAAACTCAGCAATTGGTTAGTACAGAACGGTATAACCCTAAGTCTCTACCTTTTATTCTGTTACTAATCTTTTTAAATATCATTGCTAGTTTAATAAATATTAGTATGTTAGGTGACTAAGCCTCATTTTATTGACTCATTGCAGCCAAGCACAAGGTTAATAAACTGATAAAAGTAATGTATGAAATAGAATTCTTCAGAAGGGAACTGATTAGCACTAATAAATTTGAGTATATCAGCAAATTCAAACTTCTACTTCATATTAAACACTGATGATATTATGGCATTCAAGTATATATTATTTTGTTTAATATCATATCAAGTTTCTTATTGTGATTTACATTCACAGAAGAACTCTAATGGTTTCTGTTTTCTGCAAACATGTGCACACCTTATTGTAATTTATTCTAGAAATATGTAAAAAAAACTTAGTTCTGAAATCTACATTCAAGATATTTTTACTCATGCATAAATAAATCCTTATTGACGAAGCATGAGAGATATTTATGAGTGGTTGAAACATGAAGGGGACTAATAAGTTTTATCGATCATTTAAGCTTTATTAATTCCTGTGTAAACATCTGTTTATTAGATAAGTTAAATTTGACGAAAAATAAGTATGTTTTCAAATACTCTTATCTAGATATTTTCGTGTCAAAATCTTGTACTACGAGATTTGGTTCATTCTTTGTCTGTCTTTCTTAACCGTGTTGGTCGAACTTTCATATCCAAGTGACCTAGTCTATCTATGTTGAGTAGAACATTTTCCCCTTTAGGTCTAACCATGTCATCCAGATCATTTAAATATTGGTCACACCAAATCTAAGGTTAAGAACCAAAGTAGGACTGTCGAGTATATTAGGTTGTGTGGCAACAGTAAGGTATTTTCGACGGACATCCAGCATTGTTAATAGTTGTGCTATCTATTAGACAGTATTGAGAAAAGTCAAGCTATCGAAATAGCTTATCTCGTATTTCCCTACAGAAATGTATAGACTTAGAAACGAAAATGATTTATGTACAACCGATCTCAAACAGTTGCTCTTTCGCCTCACAACTGTCCACTAAGGTCAAATAAACCGTCACTACTAACTCTGTTACTAGTTTGGTCTCCTCAGAAATAATTTACCTTGCATTATTCTAGCAAGCGACAAATTTTAGTCATCCACACTTCAGTACCAGCGCCTAAATTAATATTGTCAATAATACAATCTTCTTACATCTCTGTAAATACATTCTAACCTTTAGTATTTCATTATCGTTAACGATATCCATTTGATTAGAATTCGCTTGGAGTGGAATTAATTTTCACCTTCCATTTTTAACTGTAACATATTTGACACAGTTGTATTTTGTTTTATTTACTTTTTTTTAATTTTCTATCATTTTTGGCAACTTACTTTAGGTGCAGAATATGATTCTGGAGCTCAAGATCTTTGTGGTGAACCGCAAAGTTTACACTTATTAATGCAACGTGATTTTCCTGATTTATATAAAATGATATTTCCATTACCTTTAAATTCAATACGAAATAATTTTGAAAATGATACCATAACAAATGAATTCAATTTATTATCTATCAATGATATGAATAATTCTACAAAAGACTTACACAATCAAAAACTGGCTAATACAATAAATATACAATCTGTAGATAAATTAAGTAACTTATCGAAGCACATAGAAACAGAATCATTTAGTATAAAATCAATAGAAGTTGAGTCAAATAACTTTTTAGATAATGTTCGACATTTATTTGAATGTGCAAATACTTTACATGTACAACAGACAGCTCAACTACGTTCTGAAATTCGTGATCTATCTCATAGATTACAAGGATTACAGGTAATTTGTAATGAGTGTTTTTTCTCTGACTTTTAAAGGTTCATTCTTTATTGATCCTATTTTTTTCTAACATACGCTTTATCCGCCTCCAAATACCCTGGTACGGCCGAGAGTGGGGAGAGTCCGCTCATCTTCTCGAAACGCTCTCACATGGCCAAGCGTATATAGCCTCTGCCAGGGAAGTCCTACTCACTGCCTTCTCGCACCACGGGTGTTGTTTACGAAAATGAGAGGACGAAAAGCGAATGTCCGGGACTATAACCGGATCCCAAACCAATGGTGCACATGGGCTCCAGTATCCTGCCTGAGGGAATAAATGGCGTATGAACTAATTTTTTGGTCACCGGCTACCATGGGACTGCATCTCCTTACGATGCTCCACTGCCCTGTGGATCAGATCTTCAGGTCGAAGGCTCCGTGTGTGGCCCCCTGAGAAAACCACCTGCTTCGCTTTGGGCACTCGGTTAGTATCACAGCCCTCGCGTATATCAAATCAGATATGTTTGGCGCATATGTATTTGGTGCCTCCTTGTACCAATATCTATGTGTTAAAATACATAAATAAATAAATAAAATATGCTTCATCCGGGTTTTTTTAATGTTAAATAGCTCTAAAACAGGAACTTTTTGTAAATGTATCCGTAGTTATAGGTTACCAGTTCTTTATCAAAAGTTCAATGAATGTATATTTGATAAAAACCATTAAGTTTATAAACAACCTGTTTGTTTACCTCATATAGCCTATTTAACCATCGTTAAAGTAGGCTACACAAAATCACAGGGTTAATTATCATTTTTCTAAAAGAACACACATTCAATTAAAACTTACAATGTTACAACGTTATATTCATAAGAAATTAGTCATGCCGCCATCTGTACTAAAGTGTAATGGTTGTGAGATGTTCCTGAAGGATAACTAGCACTTCTAGGCATTGTAACTTTTCACAGACAGAAAGAGTAGTCGGCAAGTGTTGGTCATAAAAATGCCAAACACCATATTTATCCATGAATATGAAGCTATAGACTTTACATAATTAATAACGGCTACATTTCAAAATTGTAATGACCATCAATACTAATCTTGTTCATAGTTAACGTTCCTTAAGTAGATCTATTTTCTGTTATCAGAGGGCAAACGTTATGTTCATTAGCCATTGCTTTCTTCAGGATACTGGAGCCCATGTGCACTATTGGTTCGAAATAAGGGTTTTCCAACTCCCCTAAGTGGATCCTCTGTACCCGTCAACTCGGTTAAAGCTCCGGTTATTCTCTTTTCGTTCTCTGAATTTTGTGAACAACACTTATGGTGTGAGAATGTAGTGAGTAGGACTTCCCTGTCAGTGATTGTATGCACGTGACCATGTGAGAGCATTTGGAGAGCCATAGCTAACTCTCCCCACTCTCGGTTGTACCAGAGTATTTGAGAGCAACCGGGAACTTTACATAGTAGTAAATACATAATAACCATTTCTTATTTCACTTGATTATTAATAATTTCAATCAAATTTGATTATATACATATATACTTTTATTCACTAATTAACTATAGACAAGTCGTGATATAAATCATCGTGAAGTACAACGTTTACAACGTGATAAAGAACAATTACGTAATGAATTAACTAATCAAGTATCACGTTATGAAGATCGTTTAACTGAATTACATAGTGTTATTGCAGAATTACGACGTCGTTTAGAACATTCAGAATCAAATATTATACATGAAGTAGAAGAGTTTGAAGAAAATGATGGTGAAGATGATGATGATAATAATGATAATGGTAATGATAAAGTAAATGATAATCATGTATCAATGAATTATAAATCAAATAGAAAATCAAAATTATCCTTCATAAATACATTCAATACTAATAAGATCAAGGATTATTCAATGAATGAATATGAATTGGATAAAGATATTAGTGGAAATAGTGATACCTCAGTTGATGTTATCATGGATGGTGATGATGATGATGATGATGATGATGATGGTGATAATGTTGAAGATGTTGTTAATCCATCCAATGATGTTACTAAGGATAAATTAAATAAATATATTGGAATTATAAATCAATATCATCCATCACAATTAAATTCACATCAATTCTTAATACAAACATCAAATCAACTAGCTTGCTTAGATAATGATAATAATAATAATAATGACAATAATAATGTGAATACGGAAGGAGTATCTAGGAATTATAACCATAGTCTTGTAAGTTTCCTGAGTTTTTTTTTATTAATGTTAATTACTATTCACATCATATACTAACCTTAGTTAAACAATCATTTAAAACAAAGAAGGGTTTGACAATTGTTTGAGTCTAGTTGGAAACTTCTTTCTTGTATCTGTCCACTATCCCACCTCTGATTAAACTTAGAATCTTTAGATCTTAAGACGACTAGTTAACTATAGAATCAGTTAGTTGGATTATAATATTTCACGTGTTTAAGACTAAGTACTCACGACAGGAGATATGATCCTGAGTTCGACCCTCCACCCAAGTTTGGTTGTGAATATATACGCTTGAGGAGTTCTATATTCGGTTGAATAAGCTGTTTAGTAGTTTTTGATTTTCCATGAATTTCTCAGATCAGTTAGTAATATAAACTGGGAAATTCAATAATCTCCATAATCCCTACATTACTTATATACTTAGTTACTTACGCCTGTAGCTCTTCGTGAAGGAGCATGGGCCACTCACCAGCATTCTTCATCCAACCCTGTTCTGGAAAATCCTCTCCAACTCTTTCCAGTTGTTATTAATCTTTTTCATATCTACTTCTATGTGTTCTTTGGCCTTACTCTTTTCCGCTTCCCTTCAGGATTTTAAGTTAGGGTTTGCCTCGTGATGCAGTTTGATGGTTTGTGTAATGTATGTCCTATCCATTTCCATCGTCTTTTCGTAATTTTCTCTTCAGCTGGAAGTTGGTTTGTTCTCTCCTACAGTAGGCTGTTACTGATGGTATCCAGCCAATGGATGTTCAGTAAAAGGGGGCAGCAAATAGATATGCGCCACATAAATCATTTGATTTATGTGAGGGCTGGGATACTGTCAGTGTGCCCAAACCGAAACAGGCAGTTTTCTTAGGACGCCACACCCGGAGACTTTGACCTAAAGGTCTAATCCACAAGGCAGTGAAGCGACGGCAGGAGATGCAGTACCATGTTAGACAGTGACCAACAATAGGTTCATATGCCATTTGCTGCTTCAGGATCCTGGGGTCAATGTGCACCATTGGTTTGGAATCGTGGTTTTCCAACTCCCTTAGATGAACTCTCTGTGTTTGCCAACCCTGTTTAAGCTCCGAACATTCGCTTTTCGTCCTCTCAACTTCGTAAACAACACCCGTGGTGCGAGAATGCAATGAGTATGACTTCCCTATCAGTGGTTGTATTCACGTGACCATATGAGAGCATTTGGAGAGAGAGAGAGCTGACTCTCTCCATTCTCGGCCGTACCAAGGCATTTGGGGGCAGCTGATAGAATAATAATGTTTATTTATTTAACATGTATAGATTCATGTACTTGACTTTGAATCTCATTCTAGTTATGTGAGGCTAGGTGATACTATTCATCTGCTTAAATTAAATCAATTTGAGTGCACTTTAAACTTATAACTTATTGGTTAAGAATTAAACGCCTTAATCACTAAGCTAACTTTTCACTAGCTACTTGAATATATGATTAAGGAATATGAAGAAAAAAAATGAGATAAAAAAAAAAGAAGATTGATATCAAGTGATGAAACAATCACTATGGATGCATACAATGGATTCTCTTTATGAACTTGATGAAAACCCAAACAACAATTAAGATGGAATAATATGGTTTCTCATCATCTGACTTACAATTACTGATGTGTATTAAAGTGTAACATTGAAGTATGAAGTATGAGTATTGTCATTAATGAGGGAAATGGATTAGATATATCTATGTGAGAACAAATGTATGGTCATTTAGAGATAAAGTTTTGAAAAATCATAGTAGAGTGAGTGAAATAATAATTCAATGAGGTCCGGAAACAAATATGATTGATTATGTGATAAGTTTAAAGGTTGTTGAGGGGTTTTAATAAGATTAATAGAATTAGGATTTGATAAGATAGTAACTAAACTGGTTATAAAGTGTTTAAATAAGTGTTGTGAATCACATGAATGAAAGGGGTGATTTTGGTGTATCTAAATAAGAATTAGTTTAACGAAGATCATATAATAAAATAATGATAATTGTTGTATCCGGGTGAAGAATAATTGGATGGTAACCGTGAGGAATGATTTATGGACTAACATTATACGTATATTCTTATTGTATAACTATTAAGTAACTATATTATATGTACATCATAAGCTTCCATTTGACCTACTGACTACCATTATACGATTTACTATTCTATGCTGAGGAGTTTCATAATAGAACGAAACGATCGTTCAGTGCTTCCAGATTTTCCATGGTAGTCTAGCTTCAATTGACTCATCTGAACTATAAAAATTATTCTTAAGTTATTCCCTATTTATTAGTAACAGTCTATCACAATCACAGCTACTTTTTTTGGCTTGAACTTGTATAATTGTTATTTTCTATATTATGGTATAATGCGGTCTGGTTTGTTTGTATATAAACTCTGTATGTCTAGAATACATGATTCGTATCGCAGAGGCTGAGATTGGCGTTCTAGACTGAACCCGTTAGGTTACGAGAGAAGTTACTGTTTTGGATGTCCAGTATATAAACTTGTAGTTAATGAATGAATCAAAATGAGAATATTCCTTTCATTTATGGCCCCCAAATTCCCTGGTATGGCTGAGAGTGGGGAGAGTCAGCTATCCCTCTCCAAATGCTCTCACATTGCCATGTGTATACAACCACTGATAGGGAAGTCCTACTCACTGCATTCTTGCACTATAGGTGTTGTTTACGAAATTGAGAGGATGAAAAGCGAATATCCGTCAGGAGCTTTAACCGGATAGGTGGACACGGAGAGTCCACCTAGGGGAGTTGGAATACCCTCATTCCATTCTAATGGTGAACATGGGTTCAAGGATCCTAAGGAAACAAACGGCGTATGAACCAATTGTTAGTCACCGTCTAACATGGTACTGCATCTCCTGGCGTTGCTCCGCTATCATGTGGATTAAATGTATAGGTCAAAGTCTCCGGGTATGGCCTCCTAAGAAAACTGCCTGTTTCGGTTTGGGCACCCGAGCGGTATCCTAGCTGTCACAGAAATCGAATGATTAATGTGGGGCATATCTATTTGGTACCTTCTTGTAGGACTTCCGTGTCAGTGGTTGTATGCACGTGGCAATGTGAGAGCATTTGGAGAGAGAGAGAGAGAGCTGACTCTCCCCACTCTCGGCCGTGCCAGGGTCTTTGGGGGCTCCCATATGGAACAACAAGTACATACTGCTGATTGATCACAAAATTGTATAGGACTGTAGTTTGTTTATAGTAACAATCGACTGTCCAAATGAGAAATATATCATAGTAATTAAATAGTGTTTTACATATAACTAAAGAATATAATCAATCTTATTGTTTTCGGTTTCAATACATCGGACAGTAAACATATATTCAACCAGGATAGGATGACCTTTATGTTTAGGCTGCTGTTGTTTAGAAATGTACTTGTGTCATTGAAATTATTTGATGTTCTGTTCATAGATCAAATAGACATTCAATTGAATATGTTGTTGAAATGTTATGTACTCTTTATAATTATACTTTAATTGAACACATAAACTGATCTAAGATAGATTATTATTGAAACGTTGGAAGGACTGGATAGTTATTTCGTCCTAGTATTGGGACTCTTCAACAGTGCACATCTGAAAGTCGAACCTAGGACCTTAAGTCTCCTTCAAAGACTAAATCTCCAGACCACTGAGCCGGAACTGGATAGTGTACAAGTTTTATTTAAATCGATCTCGGATATTATCCAACCATCTTAGATTGTTTTTGGTAAATAACTATCTCGCAACTGACATGATTGAACTCGATTGGTTGTGGCTTCTTACTGAAATTCTGGGAATTTCCTCTGGAAGCCAGTTTACTAGTTTATAGTTTCAATGAAATTCAACCTCGTACTGACTAGAAACACAATTATTTCAAGCAATATCTCAGCACGGATACAAAAAGCTCGACTAGCTTTTGCCAACTTGCGTCATTTGTGGCGTAGGCGAGGTATCCGTCTATCAACCAAAGGACGTGTTTACTGCGGAGCAGTTCGTTCCGTCCTACTTTATGGCAGTGAAACATGGCCAGTAAGAGTAGAGGATATTCGTAGGTTACTAGTATTTGACCATAGGTGTCTTCGAAACATCGCTCGTATATCCTGGGACCACAGAGTAAGCAATGCAGTTGTTATGAAATGGGTACTAGGTAAGGATGGCAAATCAATTGAGGAAGTAGTGAAACTTAATCAGTTCAGATGGCTGGGACATGTGTTGCGCATGCCCGACCACCGACCGCCCCGACGTGCTATGTTTTATGGTGTAGGAGTAGGTTGGAAGAAAGCTAGGGGCGGCCAGACCAAAATATGGCAGAAATCCATCAAGTCACTGACAAGTGGACTGAGTCATGTTGGTAGGTGTAGACTACCTGGTTGGGGACCGCGAGACGATAGCAACCGATGGTTAGAGATCTTGAATAACATGGCTCAAAATCATTTGCTATAGTGTGCGCAAGTGCATCCACTCTTTGTGTTCTCTCAAACTCTAATCTTCTGAATTCTTCATGTCCTTTATTTTCTTTCCCAATTTATTCCACTGGACTATACTCCCTTAATAACATCATCAAACCCTAATGTCCCCTATCACTACTTATACTTTCAGTACCTCTACCACTATGGGATTTGAATCGATAACTGAATCTCTGTGCTAATGTGGTATGGCAACTTGAACTGATGTACGTACGTAAGAAGTTCCACGTTGTTACTGACTGACTACTGACTGAATATCATTTGTTGTAACGGATATAGACACCATCTAGCTATTTATAGTTACAAGCTATTAACTTTGTTCTATTTACTTTGGTTTAAAAAGAGGCTTTATATTAGCTCTCATTATAATATTAGTTTTAATCCTATGGGAATAAAATCATTTGCCTGGTTCAGTACATTTCTGTTTAGTAATATTATGATTCCTACCCACCTAATGATCACTTACTTATTCCAGTCCATCGTTAGAATTCAGTCAACATTAAAGACTACCCA